GGGAGAGAGATAGAAAGCTAGAAACGTCGATGAGAGAGAAACATCAACCAACTGCCTCTTGCACACTCCCCACCAGGGTTGTGCCCTCAACCAACGTACATGCCCCTGACTGGAATCGAACCTGGGACCTTTCAGTCTGCAGACTGAGCTCTACCACTGAGCCAAACTGGTTTTGGCAGCAGCGAATATTTTAGCAGCTGGTTGCCATGCCATTAATCTTGGACTGACTTGTTTGGTGTGGGCAATGGAAATATTTCGCTTTTGGAGAACAAAAAAAAATAGGTTTATTTGTGTTACGCTTATTAATTTGTGCAGTTATTCAGTGTCGGTAAGTTAAAGTTCAAGAAAAAGTATTAACTTTTATTAAAATGTTCTATTATTTTATGTTAACGATTACTCATTTATTCAGCCCTTTGCATTCAGCATGTCTGTATCAAAATAGACCAACGTTTCTGTGAAAATGGAAGCTTTTGTTTTTTGTGGCCCACATGAACTTAAACCTTGTTTATTTGGTTCATGTTAGCCTTTGGGTTTGGAATGCTTGCTCCAAAGTAGAGTGTGGCCGGTGAAATAAGGCAGGAGAAAGAGGAGAAAGGAAAACTGGAGGGTGGAGTGGGGGCGGGGAAATTTCAGTTCTCCCGCTCTGTGAGCCCGGATAACCCAGTGAGTCCTCAAGAGGGATTAGTGGAGCCCTAACTGGTTTGGCTCAGTGGATAGAGTGTTGGCCTGCAGTCTGAAAGGTCCCAGGTTCGATTCTGGTCAAGGGCATGTACCCTGGTTGCGGGCACATCCCTGATAGGAGGTGTGCAGAAGGAAGCTGATCAATGTTTCTAACTCTCTATCCCTCTGTCTTACTCTCTGGAAAAAAATAAATAAATAAAATTTTATATATATATAATTTACTTATTTATTTATTTGTTTGTTTGTTTGTTTGTTTATTTATTTTGAGGGATAACTGGCCAACGGGCATGTGACTCCTCCTACACAACCACAGCGTGGTCTTATGACAGGGTAGTTTGGACACTTCAGTTTCTGTTTCTTTTCTTAGGGTAAATAGAATGTGCAGGAAACCCAGCACCTCAGCATGTGCAGTAGGCACTGTGGGTTTTGCCCTGATGCCCTCTTCAGGGTCAATGCACCCACTCGCCCAGCTGCTGGGGCTGGGGCAGCTGCAAACCTCACGGGGAACCACCCTCAGCTGCTGGGATCTGCCTGCCAGGCCATGCCCCGCCCCTCAGTGTGGCACAGTGCTGCAGGGCCAGCCCAGCGCCAGAGCTCCTTGAGATCAGCTGAGGCCTCTGCTGGAACTCCCCTGTGGTCAGCTTGCCCCTCTGCTGGGTCCCGCCTCCGCTGGGTCCCTTCCACACTGTCTCCTGGGAGCCCTTTAGATCAACAAGACCTCTGCCTGCAACACCCTGGCTGAGAGGTCTGCATTCCTGGGAGCGCGGTCTCAAATAGCCAAGTGCCTGGCTCCAACTTTCTCTTCCACCAATACTCAGTCACAGGCGCCAGTGACTAATAAAGTATCTCCACCCTGGTTTGTGTTCCTTTCACTTCCCTTGTCCCATCTCTGCGATACAAGTAAATGGTCCCTCCAGGATCTGAAAAAGGAAGACATCAGGAGGAAAAGGGAGGAGAAGAGGCCTATGCACTCCTCGCCTGGCTAACTCCCACTCAGGCTTTCAGCTTAGATGACAGCTATCCTGGGACACCTCCCCTGAGCCCTCTGGGCAGGGCAGGTACCCCTGCTGACTGCCCCACAGCGCCCATGTGCTACCCAGCCTATCACGTGACTCCCTGGGTTATAATCAGTTATGTATCTGACCATATCCCTCTAGATCAGTGGTTCTCAGCCTGTGGTTCTTGAGCTTATTATGTGACTACTATCCTGTAATATTTTTTTCTTGAACTTTAACTTACCAGGTTGGGAACCGCTAGCAGGGTCACCTAAGACCATTGGAAAACACAGATATTTACATTACAATTCATGGCAGTAGCAAAATTACAGTTATGAAGTAGCAACAAGAATAAAGTTATGGTTGGGGGTCACCACAACATGAGGAGCTGTATTAAAGGGTCGCATTAGGAAGGTTGAAAACCACTGCTCTAGATGGTCATGTCAATGCCACGAGGGCAGGGAACGAGTTTAGTTTGCTCATCATTTTCTCCCAGGGCAAAGCTCCTGGCACTCGGGAGATGTGTCCTACAGTCTTGCTAGGAAACATGTGGCACACTCCAGTAGGGCAACTGAGGGGAGTCTAGTTGGAGGGCTCTTTACAAAGCTTGAGACAGGGGATGGGGAACTCAGCACATACTGCAGGACTCAGTGCTGGTGAGAGTGGGCCGCCTTTCCCTCCACAGGCCAAGAGGAGGGCGCTGTCTGGCAAGAGCTGCCTCACCAAGGACATCCAACCAGGAAAGAGCCTCCAATCTCCTACCTGAAACTCCCATTGGCCAAACCAGCGGAAAATCATAGGCTGAAGGGGATCTGCTATTACTAGTAATAAGTTCAGTCTCTCTGGACATAAATCAGGATAAAGGAGAGTGTACAGAGAGAGGGAAAGGAAGGGTTACAGGACAGTAGGCACAAAATACCTGTGAAATGAATAAACGAATGTTACTTTTCAACAAACGCTCATTGAAACACTACTCAGTGGGTATTTATCCTGTTGCTCACCACTGGTGTAGACAAATCAAAGGCCACATGCATTCAAAGGCCACGAACTGCGATTCCAACATGGGGAAGACAGCGAAGCCTGGGGCTACGTGAGATGGGGAGCTGGAACCGAGATGTCCTGGCATAAAGCTAGGAAAAGGTGGACTAGAAGAAATGCACCCACAGGCAGAAGACAATGAAACAGCGGACCAGTCCTTGCCTAGGCTCTAAGCAGTAGAGGGAAGAGTCTCCTCTGGGAATCCAAAATCCATGCCTCGTGCAAATACGAGGTTCCATTCCACAACACCCTCAACCCAGGAGACCACAACAGCAGACCAAGAAAATTCATCTTAGGCCAGTGATGCCCCAGGTGCTTCTGGCTGAAACAAATGCAAAACTCCTCCCAGAAGGGAGTGCTCCACCTTCACGCAAAGCTGATGCAGAGAAAAGAATCCCCAATAAATCTGAACTCACATGGAGACCGCAAATATCCAAGGAAATGGATCATCATGAGAGACAGTTGGTAGGCTTCACAAACCATAATTAAAACGTGACTGGTTTGATTAAATCATGATTTGATTAAACATTTTATAAGGAATCAAGATTATTTTAAAAGGGAGCAAAATATTAATAGCAGAACCCATTCATTGTACAAGGGTCCATTCCATTCTTGTGGGCTTGATGTATTGCCCTAAGTCAGCACTTTGTCTTAGAATCTGAAAAGTCCTCGAAACCCTTCAGGATATGGGAGTTTTTACTCAGTATGTGTTTTTCTTTTCTAAAAATATATTTTATTGATTTTTTACAGAGAGGAAGGGAGAGGGATAGAGAGTTAGAAACATCAATGAGAGAGAAACATTGATCAATTGCCTCCTGCACACCCCCTACTGGGGATGTGCCCGCAACCAAGGTACATGCCCTTGACTGGAATCGAACCTGGGACCCTTCAGTCCGCAAGCCAATGTTCTATCCAATGAGCCAAACCAGTCAGGGCTTTCCTTTGTTTTCCTAGAAACGTGTCTGGAAGCTAGTTGAGACAGGAGACCGTAAGTTAGCAATGGATCTTGTCTTCGTGGCTAAATGCTGTTACCTAGCTGGTCTTAGAAACACTCACTCAAACAAAGCATGGAGGGGAGAAGTGGGTTGGTGGGTTGGTTTTACTGGGGCTTCCAGGGAGGTTAGGGAACGGACCAGTGGACAAGCAGAATGCTGGAAATCAAGCCAAAACAAAACAATACTGAAAGCGAAGGCCATGCTAATTCCAGGAAGTAGGATGTTCCTGAATGTACACACAGTGGTTTTTTCTTGGGAAACTTCCAATTTCTCATAATCCCGTGACACATTCGAGGTGCCTGCCTGCAGTTTCCCTCCACTTATCTATATCACGTGCATAGTGTGTATTCATGGGGCTTTCCAAGTCTCAACATTGGACTTGACCCTCATCCCCTGCCTGCAATCAACCAGTCGGCATCAGGCAATAGAGTATCGAGAGCTGCCATCACCTACTCACTCCAGGTTCTGGGGAGGTGGGGGGAGCTGGGGGGCAGGTGGGGGGCAGGTGGGGGCTGGTGTGCTTCCAAATAGCCTGGCCACAGGAGGTAGAGCCCCTGAAGGAAGAGTGACCTCTGCTGGCCCCAGGGCCCAGCTGCCACCACTGGCCAGAGCTTCCCAGGGCACAGTGACCCTCCCTCACAGGAGCCCATGGCGGGGGTGGGGGTGGGGCTGAGGGGGGCCGGCCGGAGGACTGGCTGGGAAACAGTCACAGCCCCGGTTCCCACCAGCCACCCACCCCTGCTTAGGGAGGAGCACCCTGCATCGCCCTTTGAGTTAAATTTAATGCTCGGTCACATGCTCTTCTGGGTCCTTCTGGTGTTTGTTTTTCCTTCCTTCTAATGCTTTCCTTATTTCTGTGTTAACAGGTCCACGTTCTGGGTGGAATGCTACCCCGAACACCTCCATGGCGTTAACAGGATGCCGTCTGATCAGCAACGTAGATGCTAAACCAACCCTCAGCGAGAAGGGTCTCCCCACGGAGGCCGATCACAGGTACCAACACTGGACCTGGGCGTTCAGACAGACTGCTCAGCCCTTTCAATCAAGTTCCTCTTCCCAGTTCAGCTTTCTTCCCAGCCCTCCCCACCCTCCCTTCCTCCACACCGACCGCCCACCACCTTCCTCTCTCCTGGCCACAAGCCTCGCCTCGCCCCTGCCCCGTCTGGGGTTGAGCTCGTCATCCTCACATTCTCTGCCTCCGAGTCCTCACCTTGGAATGTTCCTGTGCTGGGTTCTCCCTCGGGGCGCAGGGTCAGCTCCTCACGGCTCGCCTAACTCCATGGGGCTGTCGGTACTCAGAGCAGCCCACGCTTCCTGCACTGACACCCCACCCCACGTCTGCACCCTCTTCCCGAGGGATACATCCCTGTGGCTGCCATTGCGGAGGAAATCCTCTCTTGAGACCCCACCCCCTCAGTCAAAAGTGACTAGAAACACCCAGCACGGTCCCTGGGGTTCTCACTACAAGTTCTGGAAGCCCCGGATGGATGCCAGGTGCGGGCTGTGCAGATGCTAAGGAGCCGCTGCAGGCGCTGCTGGGACACTTGGCTGCAGCTGGTCCCTGCTCAGTGACACATGCCAGACAGGCCTCCCTAGCCCTCCCTCCATATCGCCCGCAAGCAGCCGAGCCCAGTTCCCTTATCTGGGGCGGCCAGGAGGCCCGGGGAATCAGAGGCGGGTCCAGGGGGAGGTGGAGGACTCGACAACTTCCTGGTTTCCTTCGAAGGCTGAGTCACAGCCTGGGGGTCCGGGGAGCCTTCCCGGGCTTTCCTTCAGCTCCTCCCGGAGCAGCCCCGCCTGGAGGCAGAGCGATCAGGGAGACGCGGTGGCTTCTCCTGCCCCTAGGGGTCAGGGCCGCCCGCTGGGCTGGCAGGAAGCCCGTGTCTCCAGTCCCAGGCCCGGCCCTGCGGGCTCGGCCAAGGGTAAGTCATCTGTGTATGTCACCAGCGAGGCCATGTGGGGCCTAGGATGCTTTCGCTTTTGCAGGCATTTGCTCCAGTCCTCCGAGAGGGGAACTCAGAGCTCCCAGCCTGTCACAGGACGCTGCCTGGGGGTGAGCCAGCTTCTCAGACCGGGGCTGGGACCCTGGCTCTGGGTTCTCCCGCACGGGAGCTCCTGTCTCTCTCTGTCTTACACATGGCCTGCATGGGGGCTCCTGTTTCTGCCCAGAGAATGAATGACGTTCTTAGAAGACGTGTCCTTACTTGCGTTTGCCCGGGGAGTGTCAGTCTCGGGTGCAGCAGCCCACGCGGTTTAAGGAGGGGCGGGATGGAGAAGCGTCTGTTTTCTTTCTCCTGGGCTGCAGACGTCCTCTGGCTCAAAGCGTGCTGCGCGGCCACTCACCTGTTTGCTGTTTCCCCCGGGGCCGGGCAGCTGTCTGCGATAACATCATCTCCCCTTTCTCCGTGCAGGGCAGCCCGGCGATGGCTAACTACACGGACGATGATGACTACGACGTCCTCATCATCTACGACCCTCTGCCTGACAACGAGACCCTCGAAAGGGACGGCGCCGAGCAATGCCCCCCGTACGACCCCGCCGTCCTCTCGGCCCAGCTGCTGCCTCAGCTCTTCACCACGGTGTTCCTGCTGGGCCTCCTGAGCAACATCTTGATGGTGTCCGTCCTGGCCAAATGCCACCGGCTCCGCCAGGTGGAGCACATCTACTTCCTGAACTTGGCCGCGTCTAATCTGTGCTCCTTGCTCACCTTGCCCATCCAGGCTCACGCCGCCTCCCACGGGGGCACCCTGAGCCACCCCACGTGCACAGTTCTCGTGGCCCTGTCCTCCGTGGGCCTGCACAGCCAGGCGCTGTTCAACGCCCTCCTGACTCTGCAGAGCTACCTGGTGTGTTTCAACGTGAGACACTTGTCCCCGGCAGCCAAGCGGAGGGCCTGCGGTGTCCTGGCCAGTGGCCTGGCCTGGCTGGCGGCTGCTCTGCTGGCGCTGCCCAAGGTTCTGCTGTGCACGGCTCAGGGGGCCAGCCTGGGGGCCAGGTGCCCCTGCAGCAGGCTTCCCTTCCTGCCGGGCCAGGGGATGGCCTGGCAGCCCTTTCTGACCTTGAAGGTGACTGTGGCGGGCCTTCTGGCCCCACTGCTGGTTTTTATCATTTGCCTTGTGCGGCTGGGAAAAACGCTGAGGAAGCCTGACCTTTTCCGGCTGGTTTTCGCCGTCGTGGTTGTTTTCCTTCTGATGTGGGGACCCTACAACGTGGCGCTGTTCCTGTCTACGTTCAAGGACTCCTTCTCCCTGCGGGACTGCGGGAGCCGCTACCTCCTGGACAGGAGCATCCAGGTGACGGGCATCATCGCCAGCACCCACTGCTGTGTGAGCCCGCTCCTCTACGTGCTCCTCAACAAGGCGTTCCAGAGGCGCCTGTGCCCTTGCTGCTGCTCACTTCCGCCCGCCGAGGACCCTGTACAAGATATGCCAGGGGACGAGTGTGACTGCTCCACTGAACTGTAAACCGGCTTCCATCAAGCTGGACAAATAAACATCGCTTTTGTGTCCTGGGTGCCTGGCTTTGTATATGTTTTGGCTACGGATGAACTGTGCGAACGCCCCACCTCCTCACCCCAATTTATATGTTGAGGCCCTAACCCTGTTATCTGGGCATAGGGGCATTGGGAGATCATTAGGGTTAGATGAGGTTATGAGGGTGGGGCCCTCGAGATGGGATTAGTGCCCTCAGAGGAAGAGACACCAGAGAGCTTCCTCATTGTTTTACTCGTGTGTCTATGAAATCCATACGGGGAGAAAAGGGGGAAGTGAGCATTGGATTTGTCTCAAGTGCTGGGCTAGGCTCTTTATAAAGGTGAGCTCATTCACACCTCACTTCCCAGCCATGGTGTGGGTGGAAATAGTCTCATTTCTCTGAGGAGGAAATGGAGGCTCTGAAATATCTCTCAGATCTCACAGCTACAGTGGCAGGGCTGGGACCCAAGCCTCGGTGTCATTTGCTCCAGAGCCCGTGCTGTGTCCAGCATGCCAAACTTCCAAATACTGGGCTAGAGCACATGAAGTGAATATGTACTTTTAAAACCAATTGGACCTCATTTCAAATGAGAAGTAACCCATTCTTCTATAGAAGCCATTTTTTACACACGTTTTCTTGCAGATCATTGAAAGAATGGCTCTCTGGAGGCTCTGGATAGGGGTGAAGGGACATGTTCTGTGGGAATTCCCTAGGTTTTCTTGGCTGCTCTCCCACTAGGCCCCCAGGCATCACCAACCTGTGAGCCTCCCATGTTTCCACTGCTTCTTTCCACTTTCACAATAGTAAGTGTACGATTAGGTTTAGAAATATTTAACACGGTGTGTGTTTTGTCCTTTTCAGTGAAACATACACCTCAGGCCTCAGCAGCCTGTGACTAAAACATCAGAAGTGATTGCCTGGGGAAATCCGGCGCCTGAGTTTTTGTTACATGGACCAAGGTGAGATGGCAGAGGAAATGCAGATGCCCATGGACCACAACCTTTCACCTCCACCATTGAGGAGGGAGGAAGAGGAGGTGACACTTGGGGAGACCCCATAGGAATACCGTTGATAGCAAGCACTGGGTCTTCCATATCTTAGTGGGGGGCTATGGATGAACTTTGCCCCCCCCCCCATTTATATTTTACAGCCCTAACCCCCAATGTGATGTTATTTGGGAGTAAGGACTTTAAGAGGTCATTTCAGTTAGATGAGTTTATGAGGGTGGGGCCCTCGAGATGGGATTAGTGCCCTCATAGGAAGAGACACCAGAAAGCTGCCTAATATTCTCCCATCATGTGAAGTGACAGTGAGAAGGTGGATATCTACAAGCCAGGAAGAGTACTGGCACCAGAACCTGGTCATTCTGGCACCCTGACCTTGGACTTCCAAGCCTCAAGGTCTGTGAGAAATCAATTTCTATTGTTTAAGACAGTGGGTGGCAAACTCATTCATCAACAGAGCCAAATATCAACAGTACAAGGATTGAAATTTCTTTTGAGAGTCAAAATTTTTAAACTTAAACTATATAGGTAGGTACATTGTTATTAACTTAATTAGGGTACTCCTAAGCTGGCCTCTGCTAAAAACTCAAGCGGCCAAAGAGCCGCAGGTGGCTCTCAAGCTGCAGTTTGCCGACCACTGGTTTAGGACACCCAGTCCACGGTATCCCATATGGCAGCCCAAGCAGATGAGCACAAGATTCCTCCAGAATGACATTAACTCCAAAATAAAAACACCATGAGATGTCAAAAGGGAGACCTCAGAAGACAGTGTCCCAGCAGATATAAAAGAGGGTTATGATGCTGAAGAAAAGGAGAAGGAAAGGGACAGAGACAGTTCCACACATTTAGACAAGTGGGTCTGGCCTCTCCACCTGCTTCTACCACATGTCAGAGGAAATGACATTATTTGCAGATGTTTACAGATGCAGCAATGAACTCAAAGAACAAATCCTGTCGGAATTTCCAGAATGAAAACATAGAGTGTACAGAGAATAAGGGGGATCTACTCTCTTACAGTGACTGAGGGTGAAATGGTTACTAAAAATCAGAACTTCGTGATGGATGTTTCAATTGCAACAGCCCACACCCATAAGTAGTGAGAATGTTAATAATTCAGTGAGATCTTCCTCCCATGTCAGGCAGTTATGATAAAGGTAAAAATAGCATGTGGCCCTAACCGGTTTGGCTCAGTGGATAGAGCATTGGACTGGGGACCAAAGGGTCCCCAGTTGGATGCTGGTCAAGGGCATGTATCTTGGTTGCAGGCTCCTCCCTGGCCCCGGCCCTGGTCAGGGCAGATACAGGATGCAATCAACCGATGTGCTTCTCTCACATGGATGTTTCTCTCTGTCTTTCCCTCTCTCTTTCACTCTTTCTAAAAATCAGTGGAAAAAATATCCTCGAGTGAGGATTAACCCAAACAAATAAAAACAAAACAATAACACACGCTTCTCTACAAGCAACCGCATTGGAAAACTAGCTAGCAACCAGTGAAAAGAGAAGGTGGGAGATGTATTCAGGATAAGCTGGCAGTGTTTCCGTTCTGACTATAAATTATTTCCTGATGCAAAAAAAAAAAAGTTCCTACCAGGTCCAGGTCATTCTGATTTGGGAGGATAATTGAAATCCCCTGAACAACCCTCTATTCACTTCGATTCTATTATTAGTGGACACAAATGGAACACATTTGAAAACAGGAAACAGGATTAATAATTAATATTGTGAACGAAAAAGCAGTAACATTTGAAGTTGAAAAAAAAAAAAATACAGGATGCCCAGTTAAATTTTATTTTCATTACACAACAAATCTTGTCTTTTCTCCCCCCCCCCCCCCCCCCCCCCCCGCAATGTGATGCAGTCACATGAGCCCACGTTATCTCCGGTCCTACCGGTAGAATTGCTCACCCTTTCCTGGCCTGAGGCTCCCCCCTACCCCCCCCCCCCCGCCCCCCGCTGAATTTCAGTAGAGCTTCGCCTCTGCAAAGTGCCTTCCCAGACATCTCATCGGCACCACAGACCAGTCTTTCAGAGGAGACCGAGCGTCATCTGCCTCATTTTAGAAAAGGGGAAACTGAGGCTTAAATGGCACAGTCCGGGCTTGTCACTCTCTGACATCAGTTCTCTTTCCTCTCCTGCCCATAGCCTGCACCCAGGACTTCCTCGCATGTCTGCAGGGCCCCGTGAGTTCCTGAATGTCACCGCACTGGGTTTTTTGTGACCGTCAGAAGGATTGAGGGAAGGCGGGTCCTCTGGCCCTGCTCCCCTCAGCGGCCCATTTATAGACACTGAGAAAAGCAAACTTCTTCCAAGAACTTTCTCTGGCACATCTAACAGAAGAAAATCTTTGATCCAAATTGTAGGCTCTGAGCCCCTTGATGTTGCCCTGGGCTTTGGCCTTGAGCCACTTCCCTGGAGGCCATGCTCAGGGGTGGGGGTGTCTTCCTGTGGGACTTAACATAAGCCATCTGGCCTCCCCGAGCCTCAGACAGCTGGGATAAGGCCCTGCCCTCTCAAGGCTGCTGGAGATCGGATGGTGGTTGGAGTTTTAGCTCAGGTCTGTCTCACGGTGAGTCCAGAGGGCCCTGAACCCATCTAATAGCTATGTCCCCAGTTACAGAACAAACACCCTCAGCAACGGACAGAATCCCTGCACTGATTCTCTGTGGAGTGAGGGCAGCCATGGGGGGGAAGCCATTGGGACTGCCTCTTCCTGACAAAATGCGATCAAACAAGACTGCACGTGCAGAGGAACTGCCGCAGGGACCGGGAAGATGCAGGAGGGCATCCCCATCCTAACGGCTGAGCTGGTTTGTGCAGAGCTGGGTGGATCTTGGAGAATGCCCGGGACCGCTGTGAATGTAACCAGGTGGGCTCTAGTTGCAGGGCCATTTCAGCTGTGGTTTCATTGCTGGGCCAAATCAGCATTTTGCCCCTGGACCTGGTGTGCAGTTGACTTATTTTTCCTCTTTCTTTTTTTTTTTTCTTCCCTAATCTTGCCAGTAAAGACCATCAGAAGCTGTTTGTTTTCAGCTGGCAAAGGAGAGCACTCTTCACCTCAGACCCCACCAAATGCCTGCAGATGGGAGGGCGGCCCCTCCGGGACCAGGGCAAGGCCCAGCACGCCAGTTGCTGTAGAAGCGACCCACGTGCTGTGTCTCTGGGCCCGAGATCCAACTAGCCAGCACCTCACAGACCTGCTTGGGCCGCCTCCACACGGTGTTTTGTGTTGGCCACAGGTACTCACAAGTAAAGCATGGTGTTGTTTTCGATGGTTTTAGAGGTTATATAAATAGCCTTGTTCTCATACTGTAAGTACTTCTGTTACCAGCTCCTTTTGCCTGGCACCAGGCTGTAAGCAGAGTAAGTTTCTGAATGGCCAAGCAAGGAAAGCCATGTAACTCTGCTGAATTGGTGAAATTATGTTTGACTGAAGCAATTTTTAAAAATGTGTCCAGAGAAGAAAAACTCCTGTAAGTCTGTTAAGCTTTCCACTGATGACAGTTGCTTGAAGAGTTGAGGACATTGAGAACAAAACCAATAGTTGTTCTTTAAAAAAAATGATGCAAGTGATTTTGAGGGGTTTTCCTTGGCTTTTGATGGGTCGACAGATGTTACAGATGCTGTCAATTGAGTCAATGGTGAGTCTGGAGTGGAGAATTGGCCTCCATAAACAGTCTGCATGCAGTAACTATGGGCAAAACTATTTTCAAAGAAATTGAAAAAAATACTAATTCAGAACAATCTGAAGTGAAGTCCTCAAAGATGTACAATAGTTACAACTGATGGTGGTTAAAATAGGTGCTAAGCAGAAAAAGACTTAGGTGGACACATTTACAAAGCTTTTGAAAATGGAAGGTGTTTAAAGTCTGTGATTTTTCATTAGTGGTACTTTGTGGAAAGTATGTCAGTTCATGGTGGGCATCAAACCATTAGTACCAACATGAACTTCATTGGCTCTCATGGCCTTACCCACCATTAGTTCTGTGGAATTTTTTTTCCAGAAATAAAAATTTAATGTCCTGACTCACCCCACC